TCTTCACCACTCTTCCCCCCAACTTCACAATAAATATGATGTTTGTTTTTGCTTCGATTTTAACAGAATTCAATTTTCTCTTATAGGGGCTCTTTTCAAGCTGATGCTTTATCAGTTTCAAACTAGATTCTCTTTAGACATGTTATAACAAATTAGTACAACTTTATTTTGGTGCAAAAACATTTGAAATCTATGCGTAGTTTTTTCATAATATGCATTTTCCATGAACTTCATGAAGATCCCTCATGTGTATGTATAAACCGTATTTTGTTTATCCCTTCATTCATTGATGGGCACTTAAGTTGTTTCCATCTTTTTTATATTGGGAGCAATGCTGCAATGAGCATGGGTCTACATGTGTCACTGCTCTTAGTTCTCAAGGATATATGCCTAGTAGTGGGTTGCTGGATCATACAGTATTTCTAACATTTCCCATATGGGTTTTATCACTTTATAGTCCCACTGGCAGTGGATGAGAGTTCTACTCTCGCCACAAACTTCACCAGTATTTGTTGTTTTCTTTCCTTTTTTTTAATATCAGGATCATGCTTGTTGGGATGAGATCGTATCTCATTGTAGTTTGATTTGCATCTCTCTAATAGCTAATGATCACAAGCATGTATTTGCTTCTGTTGGCTGTTGCTGATTGCCGTTGAGTCAGTTCCGACGCATAGCAACCCTGTACATGGGTTCTGAGGAGTGGCTGGGGAGTCTGAACTGCCGCCCTTGCAATTCAAACTGGCCTTGTGGTATCCTATAGTGCTGTCTGCTCAGTTGCTTGCCCATTTTCTTATTGGATTGGTTGTCTTTTTGTTGTTGAGCTGGTGAAGCTTTCTATGTATTTGAGAAATTATACCCTTGTTCTTCCCCAAATTTTTTCCCATATGTAGGTTCACGTTTTTTATGTTTAGTGAAGTCTTTTAATGAAAATAAGTATTTAATTTTTAAGAAGTTCCAGTTATCTAGATTATCTTTTGTTATCTGTACATTTTTAGTTATGTTTAATAGTATATTTATGCCATAATGTAACTCTTAGCTGTGTTCCTATGTTCTCTTCCAGGAACTTTATAGTTTCTGGCTTGACATTTAGGTCTCTGATCCATTGTGAGTTAGTTTTTGTATGTGGTATGAGATATAGATCCTGTTTACTTTTTCAACATTTACATCTAGTTTTGCCAGCACCCTTTGTTAAAGAAACTATCTCTTCCCCATTGAATGGGTTTTGACTCTTTGTCAAAGATCAGCTCTCCATAGCTGGATGGATTTACTAGATTCTCAATTCTGTTGTTATAGCTGTCTGCACAGTAGAGATTAGAGATTAGAGTCTTCCTACTTGTTCTTAATTATGTTCTAGCTCTTCAGGACCTCTTACTTTTTGATAAAAAGTTGCTAATTAGTTTTTCTATTTCATTAAAGGATTTTGTTGGGATTTGAATTGGGATTGTATCCTATCTACAATTTGGGTATTGTTTACATTTTCACAATGTTGAGTCTCCCAATCAATGATCATGGTATGTTTTGGGTTTTTTTTTTCCATTTATGTGGGCCTCTTTTGGTTTCATATAGAAGTGTTTGGTAGAACTCTCCAGAGAAATCATCTGAGCTGGGGCTTTTATTTTGCTGAAAGTTTTATGACAGCTTTAATTTTGTTACGTTTCTATTTAGGTTTTCTACCTCTGCTTGTATTGGTTTAGGTAGATAATGAGTGTACATTTTTTCCCCCATTTCTTCAAGGGTTTCAGAATCTGTTAGAGTACTATTTTTCATAATATTCAGTATTAATTCTCTTTACTTGCTGTAATATCACTCATTTCATTTCCTACTTTATTTGTATATTCTCATTTTTCATTTCTCAAAGTTGACAGAATTGTCAATGGCTTGTCAGTTTCATCATTCTCCTCCAAGATGCAACTTGTAATTTTGTTGAGTCTTCCTACTGTTTTTCTATTTTCTATTTCATTCATTCTGTTCTGATCATTATTATTTCCTTTCTTCTTGTGACGGTGGACTTCTTTTGTTGTTCCTTTTCTATTTGTTTAAGTTTGGGGCTTAAGTTACAGATTTTGCTTCTTTTCTGCTTTTTGATGTGTACACTTACTGCTATAAATTTTTTCTCAGATCATGGCTTTTGCTGTCTCCTGAAGGTTTTGGCATGCTGTATCTCCATTTCATTTGAGCCTATGAATTTTTCATTTCTTCTAGGACTCGGTAGTTTTTAAGTAAGGCGTTACTCGTTTTCCATATAATTTAATTTAGCCGTGTACTCCATGTTATTGATTTCTAGTCTAGCATTGTAGTCTGAGAAAACACTATGCATATAATTCTATCACTGTTTTTATATTTACTATTCAGTAAGAGTCCTGGTGTGGCACTGTGGGTTACTACACTGGACTGCAAGGTCAGCAGTTAAAGCTCACCAGTCACTGCTCAGAAACCCTAAACAGTGTGACTATGAGTTAGAACAGACTCAATGGCACTTAACAATAACAAAAGGCTTGTTTTGTGGCCTAGAATGTGGTCTAGTCTGGAGAATGATTCAAGTGTTTTGGAGAAGAATGTGTACTATGTTACTGTCGGGTGTTTTATTCCCTATGTATCTATTAGTCCACTTGGTTGATTGTGTTATTTTGACCTTCTGTATGTTTATTGAGTTTCTTGCAAGTCTTTTTTCAAAAAACTTATTAAGAAACAATTAACATGCAGTACAAGTCACATGTTTATACTAAATGGTTTTATTATATTCACAGAAACAAAAATTTGACTCTGCTGCTGTCGAGTCAAATTTCAATTCATAGATACCCTATAGGACAGAGTAGAACTGCCCCATAGGTTTTCTGAGGCTGTAAATCTTTACGGGAGCAGACTGTCATAACTTCCTCCTGGGGAGCTGCTTGTGGATTTGAATTGTTGACCTTTTCACAACAGCTGAGTGCTTAATCAATGCATCACCAAGACTTCTCTAAAATGAAACCCCAAATCTAGTAAGAGTCACTCCCCATTCCCACCACACCCAAAAGGTAGTCAACTAATAATCTACTTTTTCTATATACAGATTCATGTCTTCTGGCTTTCCTATGTAAATGGGATTGATTAAACAATATATGGTTACTTGTAATGGTCTCTTTCACTTAGTATAACATTTTGGAGGTTCATCCATGCTGCAGCATTTATCAGTATTTCCTTCTTTTTTATGACTGAATGATAATCTATTATATGAGTGTATCAATGATCCATTCACCTATTAATGGAATTTTGGTTGTTTCCACTTTGAGGGATCATTATTGATAATTCTATTATTTATTATTCATGTACAAGTTTTTATTTGAGCATTTGTTTTCATTTCTCTTAAATATCTGTTTAAGAATGGAATTACTGGGCCATATGTTGTTGTTGTTGTTAGGTGCCATCGAGTCGGTACTGACTCACAGCGACCTTATGCACAGCAGAATGAAACACTGTCCAATCCTGGGCCAAGTTCACTACTGTTGCCACTGGGTCAAAAAGTAACCCTATATTTAAAATTATAATTATAATTGAAAGTGCCATGGACTGCCAAAAGAACCAATAGATCCGTTTTGGAAGAAATGCAGAGTGCTCCTTGGATGGATGGCCAAGATGGCCAAACTTCGTTTCTCATACTTTGGAAATATTGTCAGGAGGGACCAGTCGCTAGAGAAAGATATCATGTTTGGTAAGGTGGAGGGACAGAGAAAGAGAGGAAGACCCCCAGAGAGACGGATTGGCCAAGTGGCGGCATTGATGGACTGAAGCGTGGCAACAGTCACTATGAGTCGGTACTGACTCGATGGCATCTAACAACAACATAGTAACTCTAAGGACGTCTGGTAGCATAGTGGTTACAAGTCGGGCTGTGAACCTCAAAGTCAGCAATTCAAAACTACCAGCTGCTCCACAGGAGAAAGATGAGGATTTCTGCCCCATAAAGATTTAGAGCCTCGGTAACCCTATATAGGGTCGCTATGAGTCAGAACCGACTCCGCGGCACACCACCATCACTTCACCGTAGTAAATCTATATCTAACTTTGTAGAAACCTCCAAATCATTTTCCAAAGCATAGATTAATTTTTGAAGTTATTAAAATGAAATAAAATGCCAAGCGTCTATAATCTTTACTGTTTGACTCAGTTTCTACAGGTATATTAAGATTAAATTTAAAACTTTGAAAAGGAAAGCAAATACAATATTGCTTTCAGTCAATAATTCCACTCAGTTATGGCATGCTGGGAGAAATAATGAGGCCGTTTGTTAATGGCTGTAACACAGGAACACTGAAAACCATAAGCAAAGCTACTTTTGATTGTCTGTTACACCTCCTGTTATATTATTATTACCTGGAATACATATAAACTTGTTTCCAAAGTTCTCAACATGTTTTCACAATTTTGTTTCATTGATCATTCTTAGTCTCAGTTTTTCACATGTATAAAATGTAAATAAAGGCTGAACTAAGTGACTTCCATGAGTCCATTCCCGTTTGCCGTGTGCCTTCAAGTCAGTTCAGACTCATTGGCCCAGGATAGGAACTCCAAGATCGACCCATGGGTATACTTTTAGTGTTGTGGTTATCATTCCCATACTTATCCTACAGTGCTACACCAGGGCTCATCTCTAATATCCCAGATTCCACCGTGCTATATTACTCTGTAAGTCACAAGCCAAACTGCAGAGGTACCTGTCTGGATTTTTATTTGTCATTGACAACATACACAAAACAAGAATGAATAAAGAACTCGCAGACTATCAAATTTCATTCAACTGTAATATTAAATTTGTCTTCACTATTTAGGTAGCTGAGAAACAGATTTAAACTTGGAACATTCAAAATAATGTTTCTACTTCTAAAAGAATTCAGATGTTTTTAAAACGTTTTGAAACCTTGTGCTTGTTTCCATGTTTTATGCTCTAGTCCCACCCCTGAATCCCTGAGCCAGTGATAGTCAAACATCCCACCCAGGCATAAAAGTATCCACGGACTAACCTGTTCTCCTCTGGGATATGAAGTGACATGAACTGCAAAGGATCCAAACACTGTACCAGCCAGCCTTGGCGTTCACTGATTCGGGAGACATCAACCTTCAAAAACTGGTTTGGCATTCTGCTCCAAAGAACATGTGATAAAAACTGCACATGAAGACGTGGAGGGCACTGTGGTACGGGGTTTTTATGCTCACTCTTGAATAATCCAGCTGACAGCGGCATTACATTCTAGAAAGGGTGAAACAGAACAAGAATAAACTTGCTGTTGTTGTTATTTGCTGTCAAGTTGGTTCCAACCCAAAGCAACCCTGTATAGGGTTTCCTAGGAAAAGCTGGTAGGTTTGAACTATCAACCTTGTGGTTCAAACTGGCCTTAAGGTCCAGTGCATTATCCTATAGCGCCACACCAGGGTTCCTGAATAAAGTTAAAATATATCAAAAATCAAGTCAAGACTATTGCCATCAAGTCATTTCTGACTCATAGTAACCCTACATAGGACTTCTGAGACTGTACATCTTTATGGGGACAGACAGTATCATCTTCCTTTTGCTGAGTGGCTGCTGGGTTAGCAGTCCAAAACCTAAACTACTGCATCACCAGGACCCCATTATGGGGATATGAAATGAATGATTAGACTTCCGTATAGAAAAGACAATGAAAATAAGAAGTCAAGCAAAATTAATATAAGAAATAGTATAAATTGGGTTGAAAAGGGCAAGTAGAGACAATTTTATAAAAGAAAATATCTGATACTTCAGGGCAAGAAAACAGGGCTTTTCTTTCCCATATACCCTATGGGACACCAGGAATACAAGTGCAACCAAGTATCACTAGACACCCTCATAGGTTTCCTCCCCCAAGCTAAGTCGTCACCGTGAGTCTTTAGCTGCTCTCAGAAGTAAAGTTCCTGAAAGAGAGATCAAAGCCACTTGACTCTCTTTCATTCGCTGCCCCTGATACTCATCTCATTCTTAACCAGCAGTATTTAACAGAGGGAGCTCTGAGAAACTATCCTTCATCAGGCATTAACCAACACAATTGATTTCTCAGAATCCCTTTTTCCCTTTCAGATAAGAAATGTCAGCTGTCCTTGGTTCTCTAAGCCTAGATCAGTTGCCACTGAGTCGACTCAAACTGATGAAGACCCCATGTGTGTCGGAGTAGAACTCCGCCTCATTGGGTTTCTAAAGGCTGAATTTTTTGGAAGTAGATTGATAGACTTGCTCTCAAAGACTGGGTGGACTTGTACCACGGGGTTAACAGCTAAGCACATTAACTGTTGGCATCAGTGAGAGACCCTTCCTTATGCCTAGTATCCTTGCAAGACAGGCCTCTACTTTTACAAAATTCATTCATTTTTAAGATCTTCATACTATCTCTGCCTATCTTTTATCAAAGCAAATACAAATAATGATGGACGATTTCCTCCATTCCTTCAATCATCCCTCTCCTTTAGACCTTTCTCTCATGCATTGAGGCTGTCTCATCCTCAAACTAGTTTCCTAGTCTCCTTCCTCTTCCGTTACTCAGAAGGTGGGGTCATAGGAGAGTCAGATATTGTTTTAGACACTCTGAATGTATCAGTGAACAAAAGAGACAAAATACGTGTTATTCTTAATGCCACAGAGCATACTAGGAACCCCATGTGACAAGGGCAGGACACTGGAGCTCACATAGTTGGGTAACACGTGCAAGGTCATTGAGCCAGTATGCTGAATCTCTCTGCTACACCCACCACGGGGTATGGCAGGCACTTCAATTTTTACAGTTCTAAAAATAAACTCAATGATCTTCTGGATTTCTAGCAAGATGTTCTTGTTGTATTAGTATTCCACAATTGTCCAAACTAGAGCATTTAAATTAATCCTTGATTCTTCATTCTCTTTGGATATTTGAATATAATTCAACCACAAGTCCTACCCATCCAATTTACTCTCAAATCCTAATTTCTCCTCTAAAGTATCTGTGTTGTTTATAGTTTTCTCTCCATTTACTACATTCATGGCATCATCTTCCATACAGATTATAGCAGTGATCTCACATTGTTACTGTTTGTTTATATTCCTATCCAGCTCCACATTATTACTGAGGTAGCATTCCAAAAAATGACTCGTTGTACTTAATCGGTTTCTTCAGTTTTCCAGAGGGTTCCCCAAAAATTCTTGCCCTGAGATAATAATCTTTAAACCTTATACTAGAAATATCTTCTAAATGTAATAATTTGTTGTTGTTCTTAAGTGCCGTTGAGTCAATTCCGACCCATAGTGCCCCTATATAGGGTTTCCAAGGAGCAGCTGGTGAGCTTGAACCACCGACCTTGCAGTTCAAATGACTTTGCAGTCTGAAGCAGTAGCCTATAGCCCACAGCGCCACACCAGGACTCCAAAATGTAATAATGGTAGTGGCTGTGTGCCGTGGAGTTGTTTCTGACTCATAGCGACCCTGTACAGAGTTTCTGAGACTGTAAATCTTTACGGAAGCAGAAAGCCTCATCTTTCTCCTGTGGAACAGCTGGTAGTTTTGAACTGCTGAACTTGTGATTTGCAGCCTGATTCATAACCACTGCGCTACAAGAACTATGTAGATGGGAGCAACTGTATAACACCCAATCAAAGGTTAGATGGGAAACTTTTTTTCGTTTAGTGAGTTTATAATAACAGGGCAGGAACAATTTAGAAACAGAAGATGACAATGGCAGTATTACTCGAAGAATGTAACCAAAGTCCCTGAATTGTACATGCAGAAATTGTTGAATTGGTGTATGCCCTGTGGTGTATATTCTAAACAAAAACAAAATGAAAGTTTATTTTTAAAGTCCAGAGAATTATCTATGTTATGGGACAACTTCTTTACAACTTGGACTTGGCTGACCTTTAACCTTCAGTACCCTCCAGCCACATCCTAGAAGGCATTTTTTGTTATCATCAGATTAGATTATTTTACTTCAAGAATCTTATGCTTACATATTTTTTTAATCTTTATATCTAGAATGCCCTTTCCCATTTAATTTATCTGAAACGCTCCTATTCAACAGTTTAAAAGAATCTAAATGTCAACTCTTCTTTTTGCGTTCACTGACCTATCTCACTCAATTTAAATGCTCTTTTATTTTTGTTCCCAGAGTAATAAATACATGTCACTAGTATATCACAGCATACTTACATGTCCTCAGGGACCATTCACTGACTTAACTGTGAGCTCAATGATTGATCAACTGCACATAACCTGATAGTTTTGTTTTTGTTTTTTTTAAAAATAAGTTTTAATTAATAATATACTTGTCATGATCAAAGAGAAATTCTTTCTAATTAAGTATCTTACCCAAGTGACCTGAAAAGATTAGAGAATTTTCAAACAAGCTACTTTTCATTTGAAGAATGATTTATTGTATTTCAGTAAGTAGTCAAAAGTTTGAATTTAATTGAGAAGAAGTAAATACTATACTCTAGTAGAAAATAATCCAAATAACATATCAGAAATGAGTATTTCTTACCTTTATTCGTCCCAACTCAAATTGGAAAACATTGGGACTTGTAGCTTGTGCAAAAACTGCAGGAAATAGTTTAGTACTTGGCTCCACCTTTTGAAACAAATTAATTTAATATAAATTAAGTCAGGAAGTCAAAGAAAACACATTTTCTTTGTAACAACTAAGAACAAATTAAGAAGGTTACCTGAGACTTTTCCTTTGTCTCATATAAAAATCCTTGTTGAATCATTCAATAACTATATTATTATTAGATGAATATTTTGGAAAGAACATGTTATTGTTTTCTGGTTGAATAGTACAGTGTCTGAAGTCCTTCATGGTTAACTGCTATTATTTAACCAGAAAACAATACATAATTAAGTGCTTTCTTTTCTCATTTCCTTCTCATTTTTAATTTACATCTAATTTTTTAAAAAGTTTTTATTGTGAATTGAGTGGTAATTTACATAGGGTACCATCAATTTTACACCGCTTCATTGCAATGATTACAATTTCCTTCATGCATCCACATTCAATAGTATTTGCTTGTATTCTCTGTTTTTCTGTGTGTGTGGTTTTTTTGGTAGAAGTTTTGTAACAAAAAACAGGGAGTAGTTAATCTGACAGTCCAGGAACAGAGGACCCTAGGACCATCAAGGGAGGTGCACACGAGTGGAGTGCAGGACCCTATCCAGAGAAGCAGCAACACCAGAGATGGAGGCAGAGATGAGGACATGGAACAGAGGGAGCAGCTGAGGACTCTAGACTGATGGAAAGGGAAAGACTGAGTATTGGCGGCCAGGAGACAGGCTTGCAGAATGTGCCCTTTGGTTGTTTAAGTTATTGTATATTCCTAATTTATTTTGGGTCATACAAAATGTGTTACCCTTTAATGGGGGGACTGTTTCTCTCCCTAGAAACATGGCAGCATCGGTGGATACATACCTGGTAATATGTGCTCAATTCCTTGCCATTAGCAGTGAACGTGAGCAATCCACTGGCAACATCCACCACACAGCCAATCTCCAGCCCATTGTTGTTGCGACCTTGCCCAGGGCTCATGCTTTCGCCCGCACACACCATATAGCAGTTGCTGCGTTTGATGCTGAATTAAAAAAATAATAATAATTTTATCTTGTACAACAACAAATATAATGTAAAGCATGTATGTTTTGCAAACTAAACCTAAATTATGCTGCGCAAGCAACAAGCTCATGCTGTAATGGGACAGGTGCACAAAAAAAAATAAATCAAAATAAATAAAGAGTCCAATTCTGTGACTCTGAGCAAAACTCCATTGCTGTCCGTGGAAATTCTTAATCAGATCTTACACATCTCTAAATTTCACACCTAATGGAGACAGGTCAACAAATCTGAACCAAGTAAGAGCTGACCTGCACCTTCTCTCAAAAAACTCAAACCAAACAATCTTTTTCTGAGGTTCAAAAAGCTTTAACTACTACATAGTCATCAAAATTTGTAAATTTCATTCTGACGATTTTTTTTAATACTTGCTCTGAGATGAGAAGCTATTATTTCCAAACACTTATTAAAGTGCTTAGGCAAATTCTACATCAGCCATTCAAACTATTAAAAATTTGGCTAAAATCAATGCGCCTTTATAGAAATTCCCAGTGATCTGTTGAGTAGACAGCAACTCACGGCAGCCCTATGTGTTACAGAGTCGAACTGCTCCATAGGCTTTCGTGGCTGTGAAGCAGGTTTCGTGTGAAGCAGATGATTGGCAGGCCTTCCTCCTGAAATGATGCAGCTTTGAACCACAAAGCTTTACGCTTAAGTAGTGGAATGCAACGCATTTGCACCACTAAAATCAGTGATATGAAAACAAAACTGCACCTGATTTTAACCCTCAGAAAATGTCATCAGAGATAGTAACTAAGTTAAGTGATCTCAGTCTCACTTCCATTCCCACTGAACAGTGAGCATACTAATGTGGGTAACAACAACCATAAACAAGCCCCAAAACTGGCAAGCAGGACTTAAAGAACAAGAATTTGGGATAAATCCGTTTCTGAATAGTCAAAAGTTAATTGTTTTTCTGTACAGCTTACATAAGACTCAACAGTGCCTCTCTATCCTTTACTTCCTACATCAAAATCATCTATCAGTAATCCTACCCCTTGACTGAGTCATTTTCTTTGAAAATCAAATGCATCCCCCATGGAATTTTCTAGAAACAGGTTGCTCTGAAATGTAGTACTCTTCACTTTGGATTTTTTCCAGAGCCATGATTTCAAGCTCTAAACCCATGATGCTTCAAGTATTTTCACTTGAAGGCAGGAGAGTAAGCATTCTCATCACCAAAAAGGAAGGCGCAGTTGGAGAGGAATAACAACATCGTGGCAGGCTCCTTCTATAAGACCTGTCACAGTAGATCAGGGAGGATGCGTGGGTACAAAAGGTGGTGCAAATGCTAAGATCTTCTCTTGTCTCATTCTGCAAGGAAGATTGCCTTCTTCACTTTTTTGAAGGTTTGGTTTGAGTTTGGTTTGTCTTACAAATGAAAGGATGGCACAGAAAAGTTAACTGACTTACCCAAAGTCACACAGCGAGTCAATGGCAAAGCTGAGGAAAGAACCCACTGCTCCTCAGTCTGAGTACAAATGCTTCTACCTGGTCTAAACTATTAGCCCACATTGTCTTCAATGTTTCACACCCAACCACATAACCAGTTCACAAGATACTTATCAAACCATACAGTCTATCACCCATCTCGACTCCATGAAGCCAAGGCTGACTATGGGTCACTGAAGTTGTTGGCCATATAAAACAGTTATTACCCAAAACGCTCTTACTTGGTAACGGTTTCACTTCTAATATATTCAGATTCTTTACTGGTTTTTATGAGTATCGGAAAGGACATAGATACTAATGGTTGGATTTTACTTCTCCTATACATAGAAATATTACCCTGCATAAGAAATCCAAGAGAAATAAAATCATCTAAATTTGTCAACATTTTTATCAGATTTTACTCATGTAAAAAAAAAAAAAAAAAAAATGGAAGGAAACCAACCTTTCATGGACTTTTCCTTTCTCATCTCCCAGAGTCACTGTTACTGTACGGACTCTATCCAAGTCAAAGCCTGTATCATACTGATGGAAATCTGATGTGATCCAGCCCACCCAGACGTTAGCAGGTTCTTGTCCTGGAAAGACTCTCACAGAGTAATAGTACTGTCAAAGAACAAGACCACAGTGTTGGCAAGGAAATATCACTTTGATTTGTAATGATTATCAGAATATTTGAATTACCCAAGAATGTATTCTTTGTTTAAAATAGTTGGCCTCATTAAAATGTTGTAGGCACAAAAGACTGACACAGTAAAATGAGAAAAGTCGTATAACGGAACTTCAATTAAATCAGAAATAATAGAAGAGAGAAAGATACCTATCTAAGGAAATATATTAAACGATTTGAGGCTTTAAATATATATATATATATACATGTATATATATATACATATATATATATATATATATGTTTCATTTGACATTTTAGGAGACGTAGTTATGAAAAGTATTTTATTGACAGACAGCAAGACTTAATCGCTAGTAAAGTATGATAATGATCTTTTAGAAACCTTTTTAATAGGAGGATTGAAATTATATAAGTGGAAAAGTCAAGTGGAAATTAAAATTTTGGCAAGAAACAACATGGCAAATAAAGATTATAGATGCTATTAAAGATATACTTCCTAAACTTGCTCTTTTATTGACATCTGTCTCTCTCTCTCTCTCTTATCTATCTAACTATATAGTATGTGTATATACATACTCAACCCACTAACATGTAATTCACCCCAACTCCTAGTGCCACTACTGTGGGCTTTAGTGGGCTTTCCAAGACTCATTCTTTCCAGAAGCGGATAGCCTCATCCTTCTCCTACACATCAGCTGCTGTGTTTAAAATGCTGACTTTACAAACAGCTGTCTAGTGCTTGTCCTACAGTGCTCTATGGGGGCTTCAACAATGTGTATGGGAAAATGCCATTCTCACTTTTTTTTTTTTTTAAAGTTTTTATTGTGAATTATGTGATAGTTTACATGGGAGAACATTAGCTTTACATTCATCCTATCGCATATTGTTTCATTGCCATGATTACAGTCCCCTCCATGCATCATCAACCAACCAAAGGGTATACCTCACAAGCCTGCCCCCTGGTCATCAGCACACAGCCCCTCTCCCTCTCTGTGTCTAGAGTCCCCAGCCACTCCATCTCTCCACATCACTGTCTCTGCTTCCATCTCTGGCGTCACTGTTTCTCTGGGTAGGGTCCCTCTCTCCACTCTTCTTCCTTGATGGGCCCAGGGACCTCCACTCTTGGACTGCAAAGTCAACCACTCCCCTCCTTTTGCTACAAAACATCTGCCTTTACATTTCCAACCCTCACAGTCAGTCCTGATAGTAATTATTCGGTATTGTACCACATGAGTGCTATCCCATCTCCTTTCATCAGTCCCACCCAGACAGATTGGATACTACTCAGTGGAGATTCTACCTTCCTCCATGCCCTCCGGATCTAGGCTCCCTCTATAAAGCTTGTAAAAGCCAGTCACTTCTTGCTTTTGTAGCCCCCATTCCATTATCTGTTAATTCTATTTTTCCATGAACTTTTCAAAGCCTCATCCCCTATATATATGTATGTTGTTGTTGTTGTTAAGTGCCATCGAGTCGGTTCCGACCCATAGCGACCCTGTACAGGGTTTCCGAGGGTGTAAATCTTTACGGGAGAAGAAAGCCTCATCTTTCTCCCGCGGAGCGGCTGGTAGTTTCGAAACACTGACCTTAAGGTTCGCAGCCCGATTCGTAACCACTACTCTACCAGAGCTCCTTATATATATGTATACAGATAGATAAAGATACATACACATACAGACACATAATTGTATGTCAGAAAGTAGTATTAATAGGGTTCCAGTGCATACATACAACAACAACAACAGTGCATACATATATGGGTTTATTCCAAATAAAACGTGTTTAAACATGTTTCTGAGATCAGTGGATGGCTGCAGACAAGTTCTCTCAGTAATACAATTATCTTAGTCTGGTAAGGAGGTCTCTCAGAAAAACCACAAACAACAGTGGCTTCCATCCGAGGTGACTTTCTGAGCCAGTCACATTTAAGGCAGAGTGGTAGGCTCAGAAGGTTATGGTTACTGCTTCTGGGGATTCTGGAGGTTACCTTGAAGATGCAGGATCACCACAGGGCTCACTATGAAGATATCTTATGGAAACTGAAAACTGTTTCGGTGAGGAAAGGCCAGGAATGCTGCGCAGAGGAATTTTTCCCATTGTGATCATGCACCTGCTCATTGTTCAAGGGTGTTAAGAGTTGCCTTATAAGAATTTTAGTGATCTTCTCCTTCAGGCTTCTTTTTGTTCTCGAAACTCAAAGAAAATTTCAAAGGAACAAGATCTGAGTCTCTGGGAGATGCCGAAAGCACCATTTAGATATGGTATAAATCAAAGAGCTCAGAATTCTCAGAGTGAGATAAAGGGAAATATACCTTCAGGACTGTATAGTCCTAGATGGACGATATGCTGAGAATCAACAGCTTTACATTTTGGTATTTTTGTTTAATAACAATTTCTATGATTTGGACCAATACTTTTGTTGTTGTTGTTGTTAAGTGCCGACTGTTTGGAAGACAGCCACATTTGTGCCTATTACAGAGAGAGGTGACCCAACGGAATGTGGAAATCATCAGACAATATCATTAATATCATGTAAACTTCTGCTGAAGATGATTTTAAAAAGGTTGTAATAAACAGACATCAACAGAAAACTGCCAGAAACTCAAGCCAGATTTAGAAGAGGACGTGAAACTAGGGATATCAATGTGGATGTCAGATGGATCTGGGTTGAAAGCAAAGAATACCAGAAAGATGTCTACTTGTGTTTTATTGAATATACAAAGGCTTTCGAATGTGTGAATCATGACAAACTATGGATAACATTGGGAAGAATGGATATTCCAGAACATTTCACAGTGCTCATAAGGAACCTGCACACAGACCAAGAGACAGTTGTTTGAACATAACAAGGAGCTACTGAATGCTTTTAAATCAGTTAAGGTGTACACCAGGGTTGTATCTTTTCACCATTCTTATTAAATCAGTATGCTAAGCAAATAATCTAAGACATTGGATTACTTAAGGAAAACATGATATCAAGACTGGAGGAAGTCTCATTAACAGTCATGTATGCAGATAATACAATTTTGCTTGTTGGAAGGGAAGAGGACTTAAAGTACTTATTGATGAAGTTCAAAAACTAAAGCCTACAGTATGGATTGCACCTCAATATAAAGAAAACAAAAATCCTCACAACTGCACCAATAAATAACACCATGATAAATGGAGAAAAGATTGAAATTGCTTGAATCCACAATCAATACTCACGGAAGCAGGAGTCAAGAAATCAAACCACATAATGCACTGGGCAAATCTGCTGCACAAGACCTCTTTACAGTGTTCAAGAGCAACGAAGTAAGTTTGAGGACTAAGCTATGTGGGCTAATTTGTCAGACCGCAAAGTCATTTGAACTGCAAGGTCGATGGTTCAAGCTCACCAGTCACTCCTTGGAAACCCTATATAGGGTTGCTATGGGTCAGAACTGACTCGATGGCATTTAACAACAACAACAACCCAAGCCACAGTATTTTCAACCACTTCATATGCGTATGAAAGTTAGGCAATGAATAAGGATGCCCATAGAAGAATGTGATGCATTTGAGCTATGGTGTAGGAGAAGAATATTAAAAGCACCATGGACTTCCAGAAGAACAAACAAAACTTGTTAGGAGAAATACAGCCAGAATGTTCCCTAGAAGGAATGACAGGACTTGATCTCTCATACTTGAGACATGTTATTAAGAAAGCCTTTTCCTAGGGAAGGACATCATGTTCAGTAAAGTTGAGGTAGAGAAGAAGAGGAAGAACTCTAATGAGATGAACTGACTCGGTGGAAGTAGCAATGGGTTCCAATGTGCGAATGGAACAGGCCTGGGCAGTGTTTCATTCTGTCGTTCATAGGGTCTGTATGAATTGGAGCTGACTTGATAGCATCTGACAGCAACATACGTACATATATATATATATGTTGTTGTTATGTGCCATCGAGTCGGTTCCGACCCATAGCGACCCTGTATAGGGTTTCCGAGGGTGTAAATCTTTACGGGAGTAGAAAGCCTC